TGGTCGTTTTTTGGCTAAAAACCGCCTCCTAGAATGTTAAAACCATTTCCAAAACACATTTTCCACCCAAAATTCACTATTTTGAGCCAAAATCTGGGTTCGGGGCTGAAGGTAGCTTAAATACGAGGTTAAAATAGATAATACAAGCTACTAATCTAATTAGCAACTTTAACCAGCGTGGCTCCTCCTCATAAAGCCATAAAAATCACCATTAAAAATATTATGATTTTAAAAATAAACGAGCGTGGCTCCGATACCGCTGTTGGGGTTTGGTAAGTCCAACTTACCGCGGAAACGACCTTGACCCAAAGAACCACTCGCAATTAATAAAACCATAAAGCATAACAAAAAAACATAAAAGGGTAGAATTGTAATTTACCTTTGACGCGTGCTTCGCCCGACCTAATGGGCTCTTACTTGAAAGCCTTAGCTCCGCTCACACGAGAGCCTCCAACAGTATCCACCTACAAAGGACAAACACCGACTTTTTAGGTCCGCTACCTCGGAGTTAGCAAGGTCATACCAAAACCCGAGTGATTAAATGAGTTCAAAGGTTTTCACAATGGTGATGCCTTTTTCAACTAAAACTCAAGTGATTTTTCCAATACCCCAACTTAGGTATTTATAGGGAAAACTTGAGAGTGAAAAAGCTCTCCCATCAATGTGGGAAAATTTTATTTTTCCATTTTATTTTAAAGCTAAAATAAAATAAATAATCAAACTAGTAATAAATCAATAAGTGGCAAGCTCATGAGAGAGGTTAGGTGAGGACCATTTGGAGGAGGGGGGGACCAAACTTGATCCCCACTCCCTCTCCAAAAACCGGCCACCTCATACCTCAAGCCTGGCCTCACAATGCTCCACATGACACCACACTTGGGCACCAAGGAACCCCTAGGTGGGCTGCCATGAGCGGCTGCCAGCAGGCCCAGCACAAGCGTGCGGGGTGCTTGGCGCAGTTGGCCTGCACGCCCAGAACAACTTGTGCGCGGTGCTTGCGCACTCGGCCAGCAAGCGGCACATCAATGATAAGGGCTGATAGCTGAGTGCCTTGCACCTTGCGCCTGTTGGCCCAGCGCTGCTAGCACGCACCAGCCAACCTAGGCTCGACTTGGTGTGCATGCTAGCCTCCATGCTATGTTAAATGCCCCTAGCACTCGGTTTTCTCGGGGCATTCCGATGCTAGGGGTATTTTGGTCTTGTTGATTTATTATTTTCGTGTCTCATCTTTTGTTATTTTGACTTGACTTCCGACGTTCGGTTTCGACGCTCCAAGCTTTAATTTCCGACGTCTAAATATTTAATACTCGGGCGACGAATTAATTTCTTCTGAATTAATTTGTCGAGTCGGTTCGTATATTTGCTAGGGTGTGAACCAAAGAGTTCAGTCAAGATTAAGCTGTAATATTAATTATACATTAATATTACTGATCAGAAGCGACCTTCACCAAGGCATTCTGATGACTTGACCTTGCTGAATATAATAACTTTCTAATAATTCTGAACCCGCTATCAGAATAATACACTTGTTCGATGGACACCATTCTTTTCAGCTACTAGAGTACAATATGATTGGAGGGTATGCATAGATTATCGTAAGATTAATGCTGCTACTAGTAATGATCATTTCCCCCTTCCTTTCATTGATCAAATGTTGGAACGTCTTGCGGGTCGATCTCACTTTTGTTTCTTAGATGGTTATTCAGGTTAAACTCAAATTCCCATAGCTCCGGAAGATCAAGAAAAGACCACCTTTACTTGCCCTTTTGGAACCTATGCTTTTAGAAGAATGACATTTAGTTTGTGCAATGATCCTACCACCTTTCAAAGGTGTAAGATGAGCATATTTTCTGAATTTGTAGGAAATAACATGGAGGTTTTCATTGATGACTTTACTGTGCATGGAGATTCTTTTGATATATGCCTAGCTAACTTAAGCATGGTTCTACAAAGGTGCATTGAAACTAATCTTGTTCTTAATTTTGAAAAATGTCAATTCATGGTGGAACAAGGTGTAGTACTTGATCATATTATGTCATCTAAAGGATTAGAAGTTGATAAAGCTAAGATAGAAACTATAGGTTCCTTACCATACCCTACTTGTGTTAAAGATGTTAGATCTTTTTTAGGGTATGCTGGTTTTTATCGTAGATTTATTAAAGATTTTTAAAAAATTGCAACTCCCTTATGTAATCTTTTAGCCAAGGATGATGTGTTTAATTTTGATGATCCATGTAAGAAATCTTTTGATACACTAAAGGAACGACTCACATCGGCTCCTATTTTGCAACCTCCGAACAGGAACTTACCATTTGAAATTATGTGTGATGCAAGTGATACTGCTGTTGGAGCAGTATTAGGGAAAAGGGAAGGTAAGGTTTCAAGTGTTATTTCTTATGCTTCGCGTACCCTTGATCCTGCTCAAGCTAATTATACCACTATTGAGAAGGAACTTTATGCTATTGTTTTTGCTTTAGAAAAGTTTTGTTCCTACCTACAAGGAACTATAAGGTGGTTATGTATATTGATCATGCTGCTCTAAAATACTTATTTTTTAAATTAGTAGCTAAAACCTAGATTAATTAGATGGGTTTTATTGTTACAAGAATTTTATTTACAAATCAAATCACAGACAAAAAGGGCGCGGAAAATCAAGTCGCTCACCACTTGAGTCGAATGGTCCAAGGAACATACTTTACCTTTAAATGACTCTTTTCCTGATGAATATTTATATGTTGTTTCTGCAAAAGTTCCTTGGTATGCTGATATTGTGAACAACCTGGTGGGAAGGAACTTGCCTTTGGAACTCACAAGATCTCAAAAGGAAAATATAAAAAGATAAAATCAGAGGCTAAGTATTATTTGTTGGATAATCCATATTTGTTGAAATTTTTTTCTGATCAATGCATTAGGAGATGTGTGAATGACAATGAATTTGAATCTATTTTACATTTTTGTCATACTTTTGAATGTGGTGGACATTTTGGACCTAGGAGAACATAACACAATGTCTTAGAAAGTGGATTATACTAGCCTACCCTTGTTAGAGATGCATATATATTTTGTAGGAATTGTGATCAATGCCAACGTACAGAGAATTTAACTAGTAGAAACCAAATGCCCTTGCAAAATATAGTGGTTTGTGAAATATTTGATGTATGAGGCATTGATTTCATGGGTCCCTTTCTAAATTCCTTTGGTTATGTGTACATTCTTGTGGTTGTGGATTATGTGTCTAAATGGGTATAGGCTAAAGCTACTTAAACTGATGATACTAAAATTGTGGTGAATTTTATCAAGAGCCGAATTCTTAATAGGTGTGGAACTCCTAAAGAAATCATTAGTGATAGAGGAACACACTTCGCCAATAGTACCCTAGGGAACCTGTTGGCAAAGTATCATGTGACCCATAAGCTTTCCACTTCATATCATCCCCAAACTAATAGGCAAGCTGAAGTATCTAATAGAGGGATTAAGTCTATTTTAGACAAGGTAGTGAGGCCTAATAGGAAGGATTGGAGTCTTAGACTTGATGAGGTTTTGTGGGCTTATAGAACAGCTTATAAAACACCCATAGGTATGTCCCCATATCGTCTGGTATTTGGTAAGTTTTGTCACCTTCTTGCTGAAATTGAACATAAATCGTTTTGGGCTATCAAGTAATGTAACATTGACTATGACCTAGCAGGAACTGAGAGAAAGTTGCATCTACAGGAACTTGAGGAACTTCGATTGGAATCTTATGAAAACGTTCAGATTTATAAGGATAAAACAAAGTTGTATCATGATAAGATGTTAACTAGAAAAACATTTAATGTTGGTGATAAAGTTTCACTTTTTCAGTCCAAATTTAAATTGTTCTCTGGTAAGTTACAATCTAGATGGTTAGGGCCTTTTGTTGTTACTAATGTTTATGCTCATGGTGCATTACATATTCGCATCTTGGAAACTAATAAGATTTTAAAGGTCAATGGACATAGATTGAAGCCTTACTATGAAGGAACTTGTGTGTTCCTTAAAGAGGAACTGGAACTTGTGGATCCATACTAAGGAGGAACTGTCCTGCCTAGGACACGAAACAAGGGCGCTGCTTGGGAGGCAACCCAAGGATGTTTCTTTTCTCTTTCTTTTATTGCTTTCTTATTTGATTAATGAAATCATGGTTGCTTCTATATGATTTTCTATTGCATGTTAAGTTCCTACATTAGGGACAATGTAGAATTTAAGTGTGGGTGGAGGAACACGCATGTTTTTGTTAGGATTCCACCTCTAAACTTTTGTGAAGGACTAACTCTAAAGAAAAATAGTAAAGTCTAATCTAATGGATGTTTAATAAAGAAAGAAATTAAAAAAAAATTGATGATGTTTTTGAAGTTGTGCACAAAAGATTTTTGTCTCTAGCAATTGTGACAAGTGTTTATGAAATTCGACTTATAAACAATTTAGAACACTACTATGTTGACTTAAGATGTGGTGATGTTGGGAAGGACCTATGCTTATTTAATCTATTTAATTAGAACTTCGTGTTTCCTATGGTGACCTTTCACTGCCCTTGGTTATTGGAGAATTACTTGACTTTCTTGAAATGAGGGAAAAATGGTTCAAACAAAAAAAAATGAAAAGTGGATTAGTAATCCAAAAGGTGAGAGAATTGAACCATTGAAAAAAAATATATAAAAAAAAGAAAAGAAAATTGAGTGATCGGTTCCTGAGATAAAGGCAATAAGAAAAAGCAAATTAAAAAGCCTCAAAAGTAGGGATGGCAGTGGGTCGGGTTAAATAGGAGACCCTCCCCATCTCAGCCCCAATGGGGCGGGTATGGAGGGAGGTTTGGCGGGTGATGGGGCGGGTATTGGTGTAAAAAGTGTACCCGCCACGGGTGGTGGGGCGGGTATTGGTGTAAAAAGTGTACCCGCCACGGGTGGTGGGGCGGGTATGGATTTTATAATAGACCCGCCACGCCCCGCCTCATACCCGCCCCAAGAAGAGTCTAGAATATGTGAAAGGCCCAAGCCCAACCGCCCAAATACTAAGAATCTTTAACCTAATTTTTCATTTGATTCATTTCCTCAACAGCCATTATTTTCATTCTCTCTCCATTCTTCTATCTGAAAGTCAGTCACTCAGTCATCCATCTTCTTTCTCACTACTTCGTCTCAATAACCATTGTTCAATTCATCTTCTTCCCCAAGGTATATATAAATTAATCTCTCTTTAATTGTTTTGTTTACTTTCGTTTTGTGATTGAACGCGACAATTCTAATTTATTATGGAACAAATTCATCTTAATCTATTCTATAATCAACTGTACTCATTGTAATTTTAAGTATCGAATTTATTTCGATGTTGAGTTCTCTTAATTTAAGACGTTAAGATATGTTGATTAATGATTAGTATGATTATATTAGACAAATTATACTACCTACTAAACCACTTTTTAGATTTTACTCCTAGAATTTACTCCATATATATTAATAGTCAATCTATGCAAAAAAAATTTAGGTGAGTTTAAGAAATTGCAGCACCATGGTTTTAGGAATTAGGTAGAAGATGAAAGTGCAGCACTATGCGAAGTGACTGATTGATTTTTCATGCATTGAGATTTTGTAGCTTTGTATATAATATTGGATTTGGATTTGTGGAATTTTCACATTATGAAATTGTTAATTAATTATAGTTAATATTGTTGTTATTATTTTGTAATGTAATTGTCATTACTGTGAAATAACATAACATTTTGGATATATGACAATAGGTTTGGGCGGGTACGGGGCGGGTTTGGGGCGGGTATAAGGTGGGTATGGATATCCAAGTGGGTGGCGGGGCGGGGATGGATTCTGTACTATACCCGGCGGGGCGGGTATGGATGTTGGGTATTGTACCCGCCCAGGTGGTGGGGCGGGGATAGGTATAAAATTTTTAGGCGGGTATGGGTGTGGAGGTACCATCCTCCGCGTCCGACCCGCCCCATTGCCATCCCTAGTCAAAAGCAATGGCAAAAAGTAAAGTATTGAGTACTCCTTTGAGAACAATGGGTGGTAAGTGCAATAAAATATGAAAGGAACGATCCATGTACTTAGGTAAGTGCCTTTTGTGCGAGGAAGCACCAAGGAATCAACTGAATGACTATAATTGTACAACTTGACTAACCTAATTCTATTGGTCAATACACTTGCACTCGAGCACCTAGATTGCTTATAAGTCAACTGTGATATGTTTTTGAAATTGCTAGAGTATGGGAGGAAGTTGTATGCGAGCTTTATAATCTAACAAATAAGTTTGTGAAGCAGTATAGAATAAAAATAAGAAAAAGTTTTAATTTATTGTTGAGTACTTATGACTGAATGTCTTATACTAGACGTCTCGTGGTATATTGTTTATCTTCTCCTTCTGTTTTATAAGTGCTTTGCTTGAGGACGATCAAATATCTAAGTATGGGGGAATTTGATGAGTGTCATTTGTGACACTATTTTATGGTCATGTTCCCTAGATTTTAGGTTAGTTCCTTTAGCATTTTTGTGCTTTTATCTAAGTTTTTGGTATTTTGTGTTTTACTTCCTCATTGTGTGTTTTGATAGGTTATTGAGCCATTTTGGATGATGAAAAGATGAACTGAGTAAAAGAGCCAATGTCAAATGCGAATGAACATATGCTGAGTTCCTTCAAAGGAACTAGAAGACTGATGCTGACGCAAAGGAACTTATTGGTAGCCCGAGATTTGTCCAGATTCATTACAGCGTGATATTTGGTTACTTGGAGGATAATTCTTGAATATTTACATCTAGAAGGAAGATATATTTTATAACAAGAAGATCTTATCATTTAGGAAAAGATTTGGCAAAAGATAGAATTTCACATATTCTATCTAACTACTTTCCTTATCTTGGATTTATCTTCCATATTTTTAGGGATTTTACTTGGGGAATGGTTCTATCGTAATTCTATCCAAACCCCAGAGTTAGTCGTCTATTAATCATCCATTCTTTAGTCATATCTCCCTTGTGTTCACGTAGAAGAAACCACCTAGAGGAACTCGACATGTTTTTCTCCAAAAACCTTTCTTCTTTGCTCTGTAACATGAGTGAGTAGTTCTTTATGCTCAATAATAGTTAGAGGAGGCCATGTAATCAGTAATTGAGACAAGTTATTTTGGTTTTAATGATTAATAATTAATGTTTTGGAATATTTTTGAATTACTGTTTTGTTCACATGAATGATGATTTCTTATAAGTAGGTGCGCAAGTATTTGTTCGAGTCTGACTTCTATTGCTAATTAATACTACTAAGTCCGTAATTGCTTGGGAATGTTAATGAAGTAGCAGACAATTGTAGAGGAGGACGTTCCACTCTATTAATTGAAAAGTAATTCTTGATCTAGGCGAAACCGTGTTCCAATAATGTCATGGTTGTCCAGGCTTGATTTTTTCCTAGTTCATAATGCTATAAACACGTTAAATTCCTTGCTCGTAGTATAGGGGTTATTTTCCTGTTAGGGTTAGTGAAAGTTGTATCACATCTAACCATCAATAAGGGGAAACAGAGGAACTCGTTCCATAAGTCAAGTTGTTCCTAAAGGGTTAATTAATGTGTCGATGATTTTACAAAGTTCCATGGCTGGAATCTGATCATCTATTGAGTGTTTTCCCCATTGATTGTTTGCTCTTTAATTATAACTCCTTTACTTATTATTCCTTTAGTTATTTCAGATTAGATTTCTCATATTAACACCCCCCCCCCCAAAATCATGTTACTCTTGTGGAACTTGGATCTTGTGACTTGTTACTTTAGACTTACTTTCCTCGTGGGATCGAATCTTACTTGCTCTAGCTATTTTTTAAGATGAATAAGGTTTAATTTTGTGTGCACTTCGATAACACATCATTTACCCATTTACTACTAGTAATTCCATGTGGCACATTATTGCAAATCTGATCTAATGTCTTCTGTTCTGGCTTGTAATATTGTTGTTTAAGAGAGAATTTGTATTGCCTCCAACATTTATTGGCACGCTTGAGAGCCTGGTTTTCATATTCCGCACCAGGAGGAATCACAAAGTGTTCCTTCAGTAAATAAAATTAGTTATAAACATAAATCAGTAAGTAATCTATGAATAATAAGAGACCGACTAATTATGTATGTTTTTACAATAAAAAGGGATGGCTTAGGGACAAATATACTTACTCTTATATTTTTTAATTATCTTTCCTTTGAAATGTTTGTCGATTGCTGACCCATGCCATTTATGGCACCTTTAGGCTATGTTTTCTTTATATTTCTATGCTCATTTTTAGTCGTTTATGTCGTGCTTTTATGGAATAATGCTTGATATGCGTGTTTGTGTGTTAGTTTAGAGAAATGCGTGCTTTTAATGGTTTTCTTATTATTTTATTCATTTCTCAGCTATTTTCCTCGTTTCTCCATTTGTTTGACTTATTTTGTAGGTGTGTCGAGCTTCCCGGGATTTAATCATCAAGGAGGGAGCTCAAGTACATCCAATGATAGGTCACACGTCTTCATACGATTCTTAGATTGTGAGTTAAAGCCTTCCGAAGTTGGCCCTGCAAATCTGCCTCAACTTATTTCTGCTGATTTTGGGCAATAAGTCCCCGGTGGCTGGCCGCGAGCGCGGCTTTCGGGGAGTCCGTTCCCCTCCACGGGCGCGGCCGATTTCTCCGAGGGCGCGGGCTTCCGGGTCTTTTACGATTTTAAGCTTCTTTTCTCCTTTTGTTTATAGATTGTTTTGGGGGGTTTTTATTAGGATTCATTTATGTAATTCTTAGTTTTTAAAATAGTTTCTCTCTTAGGTTGAGAGCTTCTCTCTCTAGATTAGGCTAGATTAGGAGAAGTTTTAGAGAGAGAAAGTGAAGGATTTCAATGGTGATTGAGAGATTGAAGATACAAGGGTGACAATTGTGTTCAAGATCTTCTCTATTATCAATGAGCATTCTTAACTCTATCTTACCTTAATGATTTGTTTAATTTATGTTTGTTTGGATTGATTTTGATGTTTGATGCTTGATTAGTGTAGTTATTCTTGATATATTGTTGATTCTTGATTTCCATAGTTGTTAGTTGATAGATGATAATTCTTGAATATTTGTTTAGCTAGGAATTGGGTGAAACTTGTATGGCTGATTAATTGTGATTAATTTGGGAATTACACAACAAAATTACACATTTCAAATAACCTCAAACAAGTCCAAACACCCATGGATAGAAGAGTCACATTCATACACTTGAGACTTATCACCATCAACTATGGAAGGGGAGTTTAGATTAATAAAATCATCATATTCATCATCACTCTCAACTCCCTTTTCTTCACTCCTATGCTCAATAATAGGATCCTCACAAACTTTTGGTTGTTCAAAATGATGATCATCATCATCCGTTACACACACATCAAATTGAGATTTTTAACAAACAAGCATCAAGGATGACAATTGGCTTTCTAACTCATCTTTTCTTCTATTTCCCACCTCAAGAAGCTCCTCATTCTTTTTCATTATCTCTAATTGACCTCTCATAGAATTAAGAATCACCTCCTTACTAGGCCCAAACTCATTATCAAACTCAATGCGCCTAAGTTGAGACCCAAATGTATCAACAAGAGATTCAAAAGATGTAGAAGGTTGAGGCTCATTAAGAGAAGAAGAAGTAAAACCAAGAATGGAAGAATCAACATTAAGATCATGAGCATATACATCACATTGGGGAGTGGGGGCACAATTAATAATATGAGATTCATCATTAAGGGAATGAAGCACATCACAAGAAGGCATGGTAAATAATGAAGAATACTGAAACACACCATTAGCATCAACTTGAGCTTGCACTTCATCATCATAAACAAAAGGAGAAATAATGTTGAAATCATGTGTTCTAGGTTCGCTTAAGGCCTCATGTGACAAATCTTGGGATTTCATGATAATATTAAAAGAATCAACACATTGCATATTAATATTAGAATAATGATTACCTATCATAAACATCCCTAGCAAACCAAACATAAAAATCCCAAGAATCATCAATTGACAATGCTCTAAATTCACCATTATGTATGCCTTTAACTTCAATTCTAGTTTAATCATTCAAAAAAAATAAAAAATCTCATAAGCCTCCAAAAGACTAAAACAATAATAGTCCAAAAATCCCTCAAGTCTATTGAAATATTTAGAAAAAGGCTCATTGTCAAATTGATGATATGATAGACATGCCATTTTATTTTTCACAAAACAAACAAAAATCAAATATAAGAAAAGTATATAAAAAGACCTAGACTCAAGCAATCAAAAACACTCAAACATAGACACCGTTCCCCGGCAACGGCGCCATTTTAACGAGGGGATACCGACTATATCATCTCTTTTCAACTTTTCAATTCCAAGCATACCATGAACCTTGCAGAATTCAACAAAGCCCTTGGCTTCAACCCTAATACCGACATCTATGAGCCCTTGGTTACCCTTCTCAAGTCTGATTACAATGAGGTTGCATAGTGGAGATCCATATCATAAAAGAAGGTGTTTGACTCTAAGGAATCGCTTGCTAGCGAGATCATTCACCCGGCTCTTCGAACTCTCCATCGGATTCTTGGCTATACAGTGTTTAATAAGCAAGATCTTTGGAAGCTTTAGAGGGAGGAGATCTTAGTGCTTTGGATGGCTACACGGCCGGATTTGGGGCCGAGGTTGAATTTTTGCTATATTTTCATGAATTGTTGTCAATTGATCAACAATGGGAAGAAAACGGTTGAGATTCATTGTGGTGGTATGATTACTAGCTTGGTGCATTATTTCAAGCAAGAACGTTTCTTGAGGTCTTGAACTCCGATTGGAAGGGGTGAAGACATGTATTTGGATTTGAAGCAACTTAACAATTTGCTCTTCATTTCTAATCCTAAGGGAAACGGTGTTTATTCTTGGCTAGTGCGTAATGTGCACCATTATTTGCTCCAAAACCCGGCTGCCACCTCAATTACTCGAGAGGCTAGGATTGTTTGGAGGATTCTCGCTGACAATGGGAGAGTTGAGAATGTTATGGAAGAGGATGTTGGTGATGAGGATGATGATAATGATGATGGGCATGATGATGAAGGTAGAGAAGGAGAAGGCGGTGATGGAGAAGAAGAAGAAGAAGAAGAGCAAGAACAATAACAACAACAACGGCAATTTCAGCATGAACAATAACAACAACCACATCATAGAAGAAGGAGAAGACAACAACATTAACAACAAGACAACCGCAGACATGCCTATCTCCGTGAGATGGAGGCTATGCGTGAGCATATGGAGCGCATGCAATTGAGCATGCAAGGTATGTATTCAAACCATCAAACTTTGTCTTTTCAAACTAGCGCCATATATGACGCTAGTGTGCGTAGGGGGGAGGTCACTCCTCCGGTTAACTACCCATATGTGCCGCCCCAACAAGGATCGGTGCCATCATGGGGTGGTGACAACCTCCCCACGTACCCATATTGGCCCAGGGTTACAAACCCCAATGAGCCAAGGCGTGACTTTCCAGATGAGTTCGGTCATTATGACTACCGGGTCTCGGGGCGGAGTGATTATCGGGGTGACCCTGACTACTACTATGTTCACCCCACTCAACCCGAGCTCTGTATGCAACCCGAGCCATTTGACCAAATGTCCACATCTCAACTTGATCTTTTTAAGGGTCGCTATGGGTTTCCTCCCGGTTATACCAGAGGTTGGGATGTGGATGATGATAGTGCAGGCCCTAGTGGCAAATAGTATCCCCCTTGGTTGTTTGATTCCCTTTTTATTTCCTCCCTTTCAGCTTTGCATGTTATTTTAGCATCGCGGTCGATGGCCTTATTTTGTGCGGGGGGGGGGGGGAGTCAATAAGGATGTTTAAGGGTAGGTTTTGGGGGAGGCACCTTGGACTCTTGGGGACGTGTTTGAAAAGGCTTTGATGGATTTCTCTTGCTTCGCTCTTGGTAGTCTCGTTGGTACGTTGTTTGTCTTGTCGTCTTGGTATTGATGATGATGTTTTGTGGTCTCTTTTATTGATGATGATGATGATGGTTTCTCTGGGTCTTTATACATAGTTTTCGCGTAAGTTTTCTTTTGTTTGCTTTTGTTTGGAAGTTACTAACAATTTCATTTTGTATATAGTCCTTTTCTTTTCTTTTTCTCACCTTGCTCGTAGCTTATGCTTTGGTCTTCGAAGC